GCGATTGGTGACATCGACAAAGAAAGCATCAGTCGAATCATTCAAAAGACGATCACTGCCAAACGAAGTGGCTTGCAGGAAGATATTTTGGAGTAAAACCTGTCATTTTGCTGTACGACGAAAACGACACAAAAGGCGAGTTGGATGTCTCACTCAAATTTGAAGGAATGGAAGTTACAGAAGTCTATCCAAAGACAGAAATAACAAAAAACACATTAAGATGGACGGGAAGATATTTGGGAAGAGGGACAGAACCCTGTGTCTTAACAATTAAAGACAGTGAATTTGAATACCTCTTCTGGGAAAGTCTTTTTGATGTCAAATTAGAAGGAGTTGATGTCAAAGTAAATGATATGAGTGATGTCGACAAATTGCTGGAAAAGCTTGGACTGAATGTGAAAGAAAGAAACGACTTTGTTGTGTATTGGTTGAAGGAGATGAAAAAGTTCCAAAAGATGTTTGTCAGAATAGTTGACAGAAAACAATACGAGAAGTTGGTTCCACTGAACGTGAAAGGTTTCGACAACGTGATGAGAGTCTTTGTTGGGTTTGGTGAGTGCCAAGAAAGAAATGAGTATTTTAATGTTGCAAGAAGTCGAAAGTGTTAAAAGACCACAAGGAAAGTATGTCATTGAATGGGGAGCAACTCTCATTTAATAAAATGTTTACAGCGGTATTCACTTCAAATCTGTTGCCCAGCACTTAAAATAATTTCTACAAATTTTATTTATATTGTTTTTATAATTTTTATTAATTCGTAAATTATAATAAAATGTATTAACACTTTTAATAAATCAAACGAAAAAAGATCAAGAAAGAAATAGTTATTTTAAAGAAAATTAATAGTTATGATTTGCACCATTTTTGTTTTCCAATTTTCAAACTATTAAATTAATTTGAATAGATAAATTATTAAATTATTAAAATATTAAATTAATTTGATAAGATGTAACAAAATGCACTAACCGGGACTCGAACCCGGATCTCCACCTTGGGAGGGTGAAATTCTGCCCTTAGACCATTAGTGCTTTACATTATTTACTAAATTTTATTGTTTATATTCATTGTGGAAACAAATGTAACAAAACAATTAAATACGATAACTTAATAACAAACAGATTATTTTACTAAATCTATTAATTTATGTTGTGGAAAAAACTAGATTTAAAGTAATAATAATTGAGTACAAACCAGATATATCAGTAATTTCCATTATGTAACTCGAATCATTAAGTTCAAAGTAATTGTAATTACAGTTATGAAAAATTATACGCTTTGAACCAACTTATTCAATAAAAACAACCAATTATAAAAAAATAATAATATGTATAATGTTAAATCTAAACATTACACATCAAAAAATAATATATCAATTTAAAATTAATAACGAATC